TGTTCTGGTCTGCACGTTACAGTATGCAACACAGAAGTTACTTGAGCTTGGTCAACGCGCGACCTGCAATCTAGGGCTTAGGGTTTTAGCTTCAGACGTTACTTTCAAGGAAAACTGCTCCAAAGGATTCCGGAATTAGAGCAAAGGGGTCCCTCACACCCACTGTCCCGTAAAAACACAGACACGCCACAGGTTCAATCGTCAGTGAGGAACAGACAGAAAAAAGACCGGAAATTTCCAGCAAAGTCAAGTAGCAGACACTCATAGCTTCTAAGGAAAATAACAGCCTAGAATAGGCTAAGTTAAGCAGGGGTGAAGATCGGTACATCCTCCTACAAGGAAGTAATCAATGCCGTCTTCAGGGCCTCCACGCCATAAGGGGGAGGAGCGTGAGTAAGTAAACATTGTACTATCTTGGACCTGCCGGGGGAATAGGAACCGGACTGATGCTCCCCAGAATGGAAAAGGAGCCAGAACCATAGGGTTCTGTTTGGTTAAAAAAATAAAAAATAAAAATAAAAATAAATAATAATAATAATAATAATTGTTTTTTTGTGGGGTGCCGACGACCCCGACTGGTAGGTGCCAACCAGCCAACCGGTCGGCTGGTCAGCATCCGAACAGACAAGGGCCGCCGACCGTCGCGGTATGCAACCATGTATGAAAGTTAATGAAACCTTAAAAGTTGTGAAAACTGAAAACTGAAATTGAAGAGGTGCAAGCTCTATACACCAAAAACATGAAAACTGAGATGAAAAAGGAGCAAGCTGTGTATGCAAAAAAACCTGAAAACTGAAATGGAAAAGGAGCAAGTTCTACCCAAGTTCTACCCACTTGTAGTAATAGCATGGTAACCGACCGGACGTCCGGACCGGGTTCCAGACAGTCCGGAACAACATGTCTGGGTCCGTTGTCCGGTCTGTGATGTCCGGATGGAGGCCCCCAGGGCAAAAAAAAAAGAAAAAAAAAAGGGGCGGCCCATGACTTTTTTCGGGTCCTGACCGCCCCCCGTTATTTTTCAGTGTTGTTTCACCCCACCGGACAAGGCCTAGAGGCCCGGACACAAGACACTGCAGGTTTTTGGGGTAGCGGGTTTCACACAGGCCCGCACAATTTCAAAGCAGCCATTTCGAAGTGCCGGCCGCCGCTGCTGCCCATTGTGAGAGTTTTCCATCTGGTGTGGGTGAGTGATAGTCTACTTTGATTTTGGTTAAGGTAGATTATCATTTACAGTGTAATCAGTGAGGGGATTCTGCAGACTGTTGAGGGTTCAGCCTCCTGATGAGTCGGTGAAACTCCGACGAAACAGTTTGTCACAGCCCCTCGTTTGTTGTCCTCTTCTCTCTCTCTGCCTACGGTTTACCGGGCAGTTCTGTTTGTGAGCATTACATCCGAATTCCTTACCAAATTTGAAATAAAAATAAAATACAGAAAAACAAATACTAATATTAAAAATAAATAAAAATAAAAAGAGAATTAAATTTAGTGAGAGCGCGAGCATGTTTTCGACACCGCCATCTTTGGCGATTTTTCAGTTTTTTTTTGGCATAGCTAAATGCCCTGAAAATTTACAGATGTGTACTTCACATAATACAAAACCCACTAAAAAATTTTCAAAAAATAATAAAATTGTTTAGAACCCGAACTAAAGTGAAAACAAAAAGTAAAAAGTGAAAAAATACGTGGGCGAGCACGTTTTGACACCGCCATTTTTGGCGATTTTTAATTCTTATTTGGCTTACCCAAATGACTTGAAAATTTACAGGTATGTACCTTACGTCATAGAGAACTCACAAAAAAAAAATCAGAAAAAAATAAAAATTTTAGGCACCGAAATCATTTTTGGCGGGGGCCGAACGCCGTTGGGTTCGGACCCCATACGGGACCGCGAACGCCCGTACGTACGGAGGTCTGCCCGGGGACCTCCGTACGTACAGGCTGGTGACCCTGTATATATAGATTTCTGTTTGTGACAATATAAAAATAAATATTTTTAGGCCCCGAAATAATTTTTGGCGGGGGCTGAACGCCGTCGGGTTCGGACCCCGTACGGGACCCCGAACGCCCGTACGTACGGAGGTCTGCCCGGGAACCTCCGTACGTACGGGCTGGTGACCCTGTATATATATATTTCTGTTTGTGAATCTATTTGACGATATATATACACAGCCCCTCGTTTTTTGTCCTCTTCTCTCTCTCTGCCTACCGGGCAGTTCTGTTTGTGACGATATATACTACGACTTCGCTAGCTTCCTGCTACGTTTTTTTCCGGTCAGGTCGAGCGGCAGTGGTCGGGGCCGTTACTAGGCGGCCATGYTGTGCCTCTAGTGCCAGCGGCGTGTCTGGAGTGTTTTTTTTGGCTGTGACAGACCTTTCTTTGTTTCGTGGATGTTTTGCTGGCTTGTGATGGGGTGTGAACCGACAGTCTGTAGAGTTTTCCATCTGGTGTGGGTGAGTGATAGTCTACTTTGATTTTGGTTAAGGTA